AAAAAAACACATAACAAAACCGAAAACGGATTGTGACTCCAAAGGTTGCACTGCAACATCAAGATTTGTGCGTGTCATTCCTTCAACTGCAACAACGTGGTACACTTCAAGATTTGTGCGTGTCATTCCTTTCAACTGCAACATGGTACACTTCAAGATTCGTGCGTGTCATTCCTTCCAACTGCAACATGGTACACTTCAAGATTTGTGAGTGTCATCCATCAAACTTCAAAAGAAGCCCTGTGACTACAAGGGTTACACACACACACCCTATTACTCACTTCGTTCGCCCATCGAGGACTCAGCCATGACTATCGGCTGGCTTTCGTGATAAACATGACATTACATTTACATTACATTAATATTATTACATCAAAATTGCATTATGTTACATGACATTAAAAATACATTGCATTACATCACATTACTGTACATTAAAGTTACATTACAATTCCATTACATAAAAAAATGCATTACTACATGTACTTTATTTTTAGAATGCATTAAAATCGCATTACAGTACATTACATTAAATTACAGTACAATTAGATTACGTCAATAATATACTTACAGTGCATTAAAATTACATTACAATTACATTACATTACAATTACAATAAATGACATTACCTTTAAAAAAAACATGATAATCACATAACATTACATTGAAATTAAATTAGAATTATGTTACATGCCATTACATTAAAGCTTCATTTAAAGTACATTCATTACATTACATTAAAATGTAATTCCATTACATTACATTAAATTGTAATGCAACTCCTTTACATTACATTACAATTCCAGTAAAGCTACATTACATAACATTAAAATTACATCACATTAAGATCACAATCACAAACATTAAGCTACATTAGATTAAAGGACATTTACATTACGTTACATTACTGTACATTAAAGTTACATTACATTACATTAAAATACATTAAAAGTGCATTACATTCCATTGCACTACAGTACTACAGTAAAATAACGTTGCATTACATTACATTAAAGCGTCAGTAAAATTGCGTTACATTACATTAAAAATACATTACATTATATACACTACCGTAGAATTATATTGCATTGCAGTACATTATATACAACTGACTACAATCAATTACACACAACTACATTACATTCAAATTGAATCAAAATTACGTTGTTTTACATTGCATTAAAAAGACAGTACATCACATTACATTACATTAAAAGCACATTACATTACAACATTACACTCTTTAAAAATGAAATGAAAAACATTACATCACATTACATTACATTACATTATATAATACATACATACATACATACATACATACATACAGACAGACATACCATGACCATGACCATGACCATGACCATCACCATGACCATCACCATGACCATGACCATTACCATTACCATTACCATTACCATACATTACATTACATTACATTGCATACATTACATACATTACATACATTAGACACATTAGATACATTACATACATACATACATACATACATACATACCATACCATACCATACCATACCATACCATTACATTACATTACATTACATTACATACATGCATGCATGCCTACATACATGCATGCATACGTAGATACATACCCAATACCATTACAATTACAATTACCATACCAAATGCCATTACCATACCCACTACCATTATCATTACTATTAAACTATTACATTGCATTACATACAATCTAATGCAATGATACACAATGCAATGCAACACCATACAGTACAACATGCAATACAACACAATACATTACATTACTGTACATTAGACATTAGATACGTACTTACTACTTCCATTCCATTCCATTCCACTCCGTACTACCGTACCGTACACACGTCTCTCTCTCTCTCTCTCTTTCTCTCTTTCTCTCGCAATGCGTACATCTATTTGTGCGTGTGATGGTGTGTGTTTATAGGACTACTTTTTGCCTCTCAAGAATCCGCGAGAAACGTCGAGTGTCGATAAGGTTCGGACAAAGGCGGTGACCTCAAGTCGAAGCTGGCAAAGCGCTAGGTCGACTGACCAAAGCTGGATGACAATGGACCAAAGCTGGTGTTGGAGGGAGTTGATAAGAGACATTAGGAGACCCCAACAGGCCACCTACAAGCCCAACAGGCCTGTTCTACGCATCTGTGTTTTTTTGGAGCTTGCAACGCAAAGTTCTGGCTAAACCCGGTAACAAATCAATTTACTGCAACTTGCTCACCTCGCCCTCCTGCTTGGTTGACTTTGTTGGTCCCCTGCTGGCGCTTGTGGCCCGATGTCACATAAAGTTGGATCAGCTCAAACGCTTGACTCTTGCCAACTCTAGCCATTGGCTGCCCTGAAGCTGTTTCAGCTTCAAAGCCTGCTGGTCATCGAGTGGCGAGATCTGCTTCTTCAGGGAGTTCTTGTTGAAGCTCTTCCATGTCTCCTTCAGCAACATTCTGAACAGTTTGGGCAAAGCAGTTGCACCAGGTGGTAGTTGTAGCTGGCTTTTCCTCAGTCATGTCCGTTGGCGCTTCGTGTTTGTCTGCGCACTGCCTCCTGCAGACACAAGCGGAACGAAGCTTCAAGAATGGAGTTGACACACCTAACTGAAGCTGGGTAGTAGAGAAATGTTGTTTGTTGGTGGCCATCGCTTCTAGGTTGGAGGCCATTGCTATTCACTCTTAGGGTAGAAATGTTGATTGTTGGAGGCCATCGCTTCTAGGTTGGAGGCCATTGCTATTCACTCTCAGGGTAGAAATGTTGATTGTTGGAGGCCATCCCTGCTAGGTTGGAGGCAATCGCTATTGAGGTAGAAATGTTGATTGTACGACGCTGCGACCCCTTTGCTCCTGTTCCACCCCACAGGCACACTTTCCCATCTTCTCCACCAGTAACAAAGCGTCCATGCTGCAAGTCCAGCGCCACTCTCACCAGCCCATTGTGTCCACCTGGGTATGATTGACTCATCAAGCTGCCAGAGTCATGTGCTGAAACCAAAGGCATTCAAAAGCTCCAAGGAAGCCCGAAGGGCTCCTGCAAACGAAGCACTGGAACCAGCTTGCAAATCCGAAATGTAGTTGGTGCCCTCGAGGTTGAGATGATACAAGCAAAGCTTGCCTCGGACACTGCTACCGAGTGCATAAGCACAACCTGATGGCTGGTCATAGAAAATGTCCACCACGTGGCCTCAGAACAAGACCGGTCCAAACGCCGCACATCTATATACTCTTGAACGATCTTTGATGGGGAAGGTGGATTGAGTTGGACTGAGGAGTTCTTGCAGCTTCATCCATAAAACAGCAGCACCGATTGCCAAAAAGAAGAACCTCCTCTTGTCATACTCTCCAGGAGGCCATCAGACTCGCCCACCTCAAGCAACACTTTGCACGCAACAGAAAAAAGGGCCTTCCACTCTCGAGATTGCACCTAAAGTGCGTTCCGCCCACCTGCAGGTGCTGGTCGTTGCGCATGGGGTCGAGCCGGGCACAAAGAATGCCCTCCTTTGGTTCCGATAGGCTCCAAAGGTGCATAACATCAGTGGTGGAGATGCTGCATAGCCTTGGTTGGGTGCAAGGATGACCCCTTCAAGTCATCTCGTTTTGTGCCCCACATCCACAGCATCCCAGGCACATCTGACCATCGGCCGCAAAGGCCAGCCGTTCCACTGATTCTTCACTGTTCATAGCAATGCGGAGGGCCTCGTCTTCACCCGGGTGTCGCTGGGTATCCAGCACACAAAGCAGGCCATCGTCCCCTGCGCTCACCAAGTCGGATGAGGCAACACCGGGACGAAAGCGAACACAGGACACCTGAGTCAGTGTCGCATCAGAACGATATGTCACTTGCCCAAACATTGAAGGATTGCTTAATGAAATCGGTGCAAAAGTGACTTGAAAACTGAAATGGGTCGCCATCAAGCCACTCTCTCTGAGTGAACATCTGCAAAGTCAGCCATGATCTGGCCAGAAGACCTGGGATATGCCGAGTCTGAGTGTGTGTGTCTTTTGAGTGTTGGATCACCAATTCCAATAGCATAAGCATGGCTACTGTCACAGGCTTGGCGAGGCACACATCGGCCATAAGTATTGATGTTCCTCTGGCACAGGCACAAACGCCATTGGTGAGAGTCACAGATAAAGCCGGATCATTGGAAACATCCCTCAGCTGCAGAAAGTTGGCTCGTCTACCATGCAGTCGGCTGCGTGTGTTCACTTTTTGACATTGCAGTAACATTTTATTTCATGATAGTTCATGGACAACCCTATCTCTCGCAAGATTCAGAAGAGACACATGAGGCTGCGTTGCGGGGCTTTTGTACGCAGGTCCCACAGCTTTACTGATCCATCTGACGAGCTGAACACGACAGTGTCCTCCCAGAAGGCCTCAAGAAGCTGTTCAATCTCTGAAGAAGGCCTTCTGCTTTTACAGTGCTTGTCTGCACCTTCCTGTCAATTCTGTTTGCACCTTGCAGTTTGAATAATGAGTGAGGCTGATCGAGGGCATTGGGAAGATAGGGAAGTTGTCCTTTCCCCTCTCTCTGTGTAGTGTAGAACTACTGGTTGCAGCGGGGTTGCTTTGACACCAAGAAGAATTACCCACTGACACCATTGCCATTGCCCTTTTTAGCATAACCAGGACTCAGCCAGTCTCAAGGACCAAAGCAAACATTAAAGAAACAAACATGTCTTCTTCACGCTGTGAAGCCAAATCAGTGGCGACTACACCCTCCAACCGCTGTAGGGCACGTAGGTCAGCAGTCAGCACTTCAACGTTGCCAAATCCCTCAGGGATAGGACAGCTAGGCTGATGACAGTTTGCTTACATGAATAACACCATGTTGAAAGTCTGCCTTTGCAAAGCATGTCATACATGTTGCAGCACATCGCATTGTATACGTTTAGCAGCTCTGAAATCCGCAAAAATTGACCTGTCCCCAACAATGCAAAGCCCAATCTGTCATTAGTTTTCCGAATGTCTCTTAGTAGGTCCGATTCAGATGGTAAGAACGCCCGACATAGATATATATATATATTATACTGGGGCCTTCCTTAGGTTTGCCGCTTGACGTGGCCACAAAAGTTACAAGAACACCTGCACTCTTCCCCAAATATGTATTTCCCTGCAAAGGTGCAATGTGAGGTTTGCTCGGGACACGTACTTTGGGAGCTTCGGGTGCGTCTAAATCAGCCAATGCAAAAACCACAGGTCACAGTACATAGTACCTTTTGTTGCCGTTGCAGCGGTGTTCGTGAGGGACATTGCAAGCGGGTGGAAAGCAGATCGTTGCAGTGAAGGAATCATTTCACGGATTGATAGAAACTATGCGTGGGTTTGCTATAATGGCCAGGCGGTCAAACTATTTCTTCGTGCCCAATCAACTCCGAGCCCAAAGGCCAAAACCCTGGAGGGAACCCAAAGAATTGGCGGGCACCTCCCTGTCAGCCGACAATACTCTCATACACGTCTCTTAAACAAGTGGTCTCAGTTCGAGAGAGGCCTTTGCTTTGGTTTACTGACAACCGGAAGAATCCAACATATGCTTCAGCGTGTGCACAATTGTGGATTAAACATCCAAGAACTCAACCAGTGAAACATGTCTTTTTCTCTGAGTATTCTTTCTTTCTTCAGACCTTGCTTCCTTCTTTCGCTTTCAGAACCATCGTCCGAATAAATCCCTCAGCCGGACTGCCTTCTTGAGTCGCACTGCTGCAGCCAGCTTGTCACGACCGCTGCCATTGGCAGCAGCTAATGCCACAACATAGCTGCCATTGGTACAGAGATGCCGAGCTCGACAGGCCGCCGTCCCAAATGCCATGAGGCCAGCGCATAGAAGGTGTGATATGCACAATCTGTTTGGCTCAATTTGGTTGAGTGTTCCCCTCTGGACCTAGATCCGTTTGCTCCTTTTCAACCAATCTATCAGTTTCTCTTCTTCCATCAATGCGTAGGCGGCAAGCAACATATGCAGCAAATGTCGTCGACCACAGCGATTGGAAGCACCAATCGCACCACCAATCACACTGAGGCCCCTGGCTGCCGCGGAGTAGTCGCCGTCATCAAACCGTCTGGGCTTGAAGTCCTTAATGACAACCTGCACGGAGAGTGCAACTCGCGAGGCGATCGAGCAGAGAATGGATCGAAGGATCCAATGCACCTCCTGCGTGTGGCCAGGAGCATTCAGCAAAAACTCCCAGGCGCGATCATCCATCGGAAAGTGAACTGGCACATGAGGCATGCAAATCTTGTGGACGGCATTTGGGAGCTGGCAGATGTCCAAACAATATATAACTTGACGGCTGTGTAGTTGTTTTGCAATGCCTCGAAAGTCTTTCATTTCATCAAGGCTGGGCCCTGACGGCCCTGACCTCAGTTCCGAATGGCTTCCCACATGGAACAGCGTTCGACAAGGACTGAGCGAAAAGCACCGCAGACAGTGTCGGTGCAGTCTCGGTCCTCTCGGTCATCCGGAGTTTCTTCACCAAAGAAGTCACCTGCACTTGACTTCGGCACGATGTGCGTGTCAGGCGAAAACTGGCACACAAGCAGCACTAGAAAAGCCAGAGGCACCAGAGAAGAGTAGTCCGGTTCGTTTTCGTTGCGCGGGCGGAATTCTGCAAGCACCTGCTTGCAGAATGCTCATCACAATGTACACTTGTCTTGGACTCTTGGAGTGCCCTTTCTATCTCGCTTTGCCCAACAGTCACTGTGACATGGAAAGAAAAATTGGGCAAGTCATGGGCATGGTCGTCTAGAACATCATCCATATTATCACATATTGTATCTCATATTATATATATAACTATATCATAGACTATATATATATATACACAGATATAAACCATGCGACATGTGTGTGTGTGTGCACACGTGAAAGCACCTTGTGCTGTACGGCCGAGGGCGAAGTGGAGAGGTAGTCAAGGGCTCGACTGAACAAGACATCTCCATGTATCTCTACCATTCATGCTTTATGATTGGACGAACAGCATGGCACTGGGTACTGAGAATCTTGCTCGTCTATGGGGTAACGGCCGCCTTCCAACAAATCAAACAAAACTTCAATGACCTGCAGCTGGGAGTCTGCAAGGCTGAGAGCTCAGCAGAAAGTTGCTATCTCATCCTCTGTCGGTGGGGCAAACTCCTTGGCACATTGGCACACCGTGCCCCCCGGCTCCAAATCAGGTCATCAGGCAATGCTGGGCAGGTCTGAGTTTTGCTACCCAACTGGATCTTAGATGCGCACACCTCGCAGGCGCTTCTCAACCTGAATCTCAAGCTTCAGAGTTTCGAGATCTGCCACAAAACAAGCTTCAACTCGGGATCGCACCAGCACCTCACCTGCCTCCTCCTGGAAGGGTTCCCCATGCTTCCCCACACAAGCTCACGTTCACTTCGTTTGGTGCTCTCCGGACTCCGAACTCAATTTTCACAAGAATCCCCACGACTTCGGTTCTGTTGTTCCCCAAGATGCAACAAGTCGAAAGCCGAGCTCAGCCGCGCTCGTCGCGGGACGTCCTCTCGGAAGCGCTTCCGAGACAAGGCTTGCGTTTGAAGGCTCCGAATGTAGCCGGTCACCTGGGACGGACAGCCCGCCCGGGTATTTGAAGGTCCGACAATGGTGGTCTTTGAAGTTCCGAGGTCCTCACTTGTCGAGAATAGTCCACCTTTTACAAACGAGGTGCAGTGACCGGCATTTGACGCAAAGCATTGTCCTGCCTCCTCCTTGTTTCTGGGATCAAAGGTCTCTATCACCTGAGAAACAATACTGGCATGCGTACTTAACTTTCTGATTGGCTCCTATCAGCTCAGAATGGTTCGCAAGCATTCTACAAAATGTCTGACCTGAGTTCTGCGCCTTTGCTTGGATATCAGGAGCGCATGAAAGGAGGAGCTTTGTGGCACGCTCATCCATGGGGTATCGATCCCAAAACCTCGCGAAGATGGCCACCGTGTCCCATTGTGTGCCTGTATGCTGCTATCTGCCTCAAGCATAGGTGTCCGATATCCTATACATTTTCTATTCTTGGTTGAATTGGGTCAAGTAACGCGCTGGCATGCGCCAAAGGAGAGGCAAGGAAAAATGAGAAAAGCGGTTTTGGTTCTTCTCTCCAGCCTGTGGAGCTGCTCCTCCATAGCAGGATCATCTACCTCAAAGGCCCCAAAAAAGAAAACATACTATACTATACATGTAACATCAGCTAACCAACACCTGATTGTTGAATGGGGGCAGCTGTCTGCAAGATACTGGAAGATGCCAAATTCCAATCGCACATGCCGTTGCTTTTGCAATACCTTTGGCACTGCAATCTACATTCCCGCGTCTTGCGGGTGTTGAGCAAGTCTACGTCTCAAGGGGAGTTGGCCTTTAGCAGAACTTGGTCGAAGCTGCCAAGATGGATGAAGCGCCTCTGCAGCATTGCTCTGAGTAGCACTTGTCCCTGCTGTGCCAACCAAACTGGAAAGTCTGCAAGGCATCCAACTGGCTTTGCCCTCCCAAGCTGGAGGGCGTGCTCGGCTTGGTGCAGTTGGTGGCCGTCCTGTGATCTGCGTCTCCTCTGACTTTTGCTTCGGCTCGGCCTCCTCAGCTTGTTGTTCGGCCAGCTCGGCTTCCACAGGCCAATTGGTCTCATTGGTCTGCAACGCCGCGATCAACTCTTGGCCAAGATGGCTGTCTCGCCGTGGTTTCTCCGCAGATCCTTGAGCATCGGACACACCAAGCTCGGCTTCCATGGCAGGGAGTTCAGCATCCGTAGGAGTTCGACTTGGCTCAATCATGAACTCTTCCAGATTGAGGCGTTCCATGGTCTCGTTGTCCAACGTGACTGCACTGACCGGCCTGTGCTTAGGTACATCCAGCAGATTTTGGAGCAGAACATTTAAAGGCTGAGGCACATGATCTCCGTGTTCCTTGGGTTCCTCTTCGCGCTGGACCGTGAAGGAATGCTCCTTCTGAGGTGGCCCCTTTGGCTTTAGCAAGGGCAGTGCCTTTTGAAGGTTCGGAACTGTTACTTCCACTGCAGTCCGTCTTTTCGTTGTAAAGAATGTCCTGGTTGTCCCGGCAGACTCACCCACCAATTCCAGGTTGTCAGGTGCCACCACCTCATGCTGAGTTAACAAATGCGCAACTCCACGCCGAGTCATAGGTAACCCCCTACGTTCTGGACCTTCGTGAACAACCCTCCCCACTGCTCCAACTCGGTCTTCTCTTTCATCTACCTCCTCTTCAAAGACTTCTCTTTCCACCGAGATGTCTGGCTCCTGCAGCATTTCATCGAGCTGATCGAGCTCGCCCCTCCCCGAAGTTTCAACATCTGAGTCTTCTTGACTGGTTTGAGGGCTCATCATTGCTCGGGAAGGCTGGAGGTCCCCCTTGCTGCCGCTACTCGACCACATGCGAGCTGGGCCTGAGCACCGTCTTCCTCGAATCGTGGCACGTGGAACTGTAGGCCCTTCGAACAACACTGAACTCAGTGGGACAACTTGTGCGTTTGAGCTCTGGTCCTGTGCATTCACTTCAGAACTCAACTTGCCAGTCTCAACATCTCTCGCAACAGGTGTGGAGTCGGAACTGGTCTTGCAAACCCTAGTGACCCTAGTGGCGGCTTCAGGGCTGTTTCTCTGGAGAATGTCAGAAGTTGCTTGTGGGATAGCACCCAATCGCTTCCATGAGCTCCCAGGCTCATGTGGAAGTGGACATCCCCATTCAGGTGGTTGCTCAATGCACGGCTCATCAATCTGAGGCTGTGCCATGAGCACCCTTGTTCTGGAAGAAGCTGGCCTCTCGTGGAGTCGCAAGCGCCTCGCTGTTCCTGGTGGACCATCACATGTATAGTTCGCGCTTGCTGAGGGGAATGCTCTTCCCTTTTGTGGAGTCTTTTCTGCAAGAAGTCGGCCCAACGATTGCCTGCCCAATTCCAAGTCATCCAATTGCCATAGCGAACTCCTGTTTGTCTGCACGGACCTTGGGCTGACTTCTTCGCTGTCAGGAACGGGAGAAGGACTCCGTCCTGCCTGCGTGTTTGGAGAGGGTGGAAGCTGCCGCAACCCATCTGGCATTTCTTCCCCCAGAAGTCTAATACTTCGATGGTTCTCCTCGAAGGACGGTTCGGGCGTCCCAGCTCCAGGCAGGGGCACCTCATCATCATCCACCATAAGAAAACTTGGATCCGACTCTTGAGAGCCGCTTCGACTTTGACTCCGACTCCCTTCGCTGTCTGGATCTCGATCATCACGATCACCTGCACTCCCTGCGCCTTTCAAAGCTCTCTGGTTGCATTGTCGCCGAAGACTACTACCTCTCTCAGGCCGTGGGCTAGACACTACACCGATGCCTTGTAGCTGAAATGCTTCTGGCAGAAGCTCTTGATGAGCACTTGATGGCAAAGATGGCCTTGAATCTGGAGCTGCCCTCGCCTTTGGCGTCTTTGAGACACTTACAGGCGAGCGACCACTCTGGCCAATCATCAATGCCAATGGAGCCTTGCTTGCTTCACCAAAACGTTTGGTGAATTTGACCTCCTCAAACATTTCTGGAGCCTTTCGAAGTGGATCAGGCTCGCTTGTCTCACTCAGACTGTCACTCCTGCCACTCTGATTCTGAGCCTCTGCCGATATGATCACTTGACGTCCCATCAAATCTGTGTAGAATCTGGGAGCGTCAGAGTTTGGTGTAGCTGAATGTCTCCTTTGTCGATGAGCGTCCTTGGCCAAGACCCGACCTCGTATCACTTTTTGGGCCCGCACATCTTTTCGTGCATTTCCAGATCTAGACCAATTCAAGAACGTTGCCTTTGAACGCTTTTCCTTGACCTCTACGGGGTCTTCTTGAAGTGACTCTTCTTCTTCCTCCTCGAGGCTTTCCTCGTAATCATCTCCGAGGTTTTCACTGTGTTCACCCAAGCTCCTGGATGACCACTGCCATGATTTCATGGATTTAGAACGCATAGTCATGTATTCATCAAAGCGCCAGGATAGCTCTTCGACAAACTTTTGCTGCAGGGGCCTGTTATGCAGAATGTCTGAATTGCTGCGGACAAGCTGGCATCGGCTTGGCAAACTCCACTCGGTCTTGGCATGTGCAATCAATAATGGCGTTTGCGACGTCAACGTGCCTTCTGACGAGATATTCAAGCCAGGAACTGAAGATGCTCGTGCTCGAGTGTGGCCCATGGGGCTCCTTGCGCCTTCAGTGCCATCAGCCTCGACATCTTCGGCTCCTTCCTGCTCTGGTGCATCAACCTCGTCAGACTTGCTCGATGCTAAATGCGATGGCATACGTCTGGTCAAATACCTATGCAGCGCGTTGACAGCAGTTTCTGTCTCCAAAAGCTCACCTTCTGGCCTGTTGGGGGTTGTGGCCAAGCGAAGCCATTTCCGAGTTGTCAGGTGCAGCTTCAAAAGAAGTTGCTGGTACTTCAAGCACTAATCACTGCATCTGCTCCTTCCACATCGTCGCTGGTGCGGCTGTGAGCTAGCAACGATGGGAGATGCATCACGGAATCCTGTTGTGCTGGGGAGCTTTGGTCTTTGGAACTCACATCCTTTCTTTGGCCCTGTGCATGAGTCTTTGGCATCAATCTCTGCACAGTGTGAACGATATCTTCAATCTCTAGGCTATACTGCTTCAAAAGCAATTCTGCATCCTTCGCCATGGACTGGGCTTGACCTCGCAACACACCCAAACCCCCTCTGATGGTCCTGAAGCTCGCCTCAACAGCCCTGGCCTGCTGCTCCAAGCCATTTGAAGTTGCTTTGAGCGGCTCGTCCAAAACTTGATTCAAGGCATGTTTTCGAAGTTGTAGACTACGTAGGTTCAGAATGGCAGCCATCAGCTTGCAGCCACGTTGAATACGAACAATAGCACTAAATCGCACCAAAGCCAGCACCAAGGCAACCTCTGCAGCTACAGAATCCTCGCGAAGCTCGCTCTTGAAATCGCTAAGGCTCTTCAAGAAAGGCTCGGATTTCAACAATAGCTTTACAGAAACATGGCTTGTGCGGTCCACCAACGCTTCTCGGAACTCCTTGAGCATATCCACCAGCCTGGGCATGTCTGGTCCACTAAGCAGGAAGGATGGCTGCCTCCAAGCGCCTCGCAGGAAAGGCGTCAATTCAGTCGCTGCTGTGGCAGATTTACACTGTAACTGTTGCTGTATGATTGGGAAGTCCAGCTGGTCCAATCTTTGTTTCTGGTGGCCAGCATGGAGCATCTCTTGCATCTTCTCAAGCGGGCTCCTCGAAATTAGACGACCAACCGCTTCAGAGATGGTGGGCGAAATCATCGGCTCCTCACAATCAGCCACAAGAGCAAACATCCAAGAGACCAAATCATCTCCAGAAGGAAGCTTGCCAAATGCGCCATGGCCAAGGTCCAAAGCTGCGTTGTAGGGTTTCAAAAGCATGGCGACCGAATTCTGAGTGTGTTCAAGCCTTTCCTTCAAATCCTTCAACTTCTTTTCCACAGCTCTGGTTTGTTCATCTGTCCGTCTTTTACTGGTCCTCAGGGTGTGGGTGGAGTCTTGATACTTCTTGCAAAGCTTTACGTGCCAGTGTTTCAATTTATCTGCTAGCTCCATCAGAATTCTGGTCAGCTCGGCCCGCAACAATCCACGGTGCCGGGTGCAAGTCTCCAGCTGTACCACTGTCTCAGCTCGTGCTTTGGCCGCTTGCATTACCATGCTCTTGGTCTCCTTTTGGAAGGTTTTGTGAACTTCAGCTTCCACCTGGAGGGAGTCCGAACAAAAAAAAAAAGAACTACTTCTCGCCATTCCTTTTCCTGCTTGTAGCATACCAGCCCTGACCTGTTTTCAGCCTCGTGGCAATGTTGTTTCAAACAAGCCCCTACTGGCTACCAGTGACTGCATCCGCCCGTGCAAATGAAACCGGAACATAACAGCCAATGCAAACAAATATATATATATATATAATATACAGAAATCATATAACGTGCTACCAACATTACAGTATTCATATGCATTCATATGCTGTGAATGAGGCATGCTTTCAACAAGGGGAGGCACACAACAAATATAGTTTTTAGCGGGATGTTTTTTTCTATCTCTCACCTGTTTCACCAGCAACAGCTCTGCTGAATCCACGGAACTTTGCAGGGCCGCTTTGCTCTGCACTGCTTCTTCCAATCCGGCATTGAGTGCATCCATTCGATGCCAGCGCTCATCTAGATCATGATACATGTGCAGCAGGTTCAAACGATGCTTTAAATGGTCCAAGTCCTTGACCTCCACATTCCCAAATTTCTCGACATTGAATACCTCCTGCGAAATGAATGCAAACCACTGGCGCGTCACTTTGTCTGCTTGAGCACACCCCTTCTCTCGTGCCTCCTGCAGCAATTGCCCCACTGAGGCCAATGATTCTTGCAAGTCGCCTAAATCCTGCGGGACATCAACTCCTGCGCTCTTTTCTGGGGAGCTCATCCCTTTCCACACTTGGTTGAGCTGTGCCATCACGGAATCAATGCTCTCACTACCATTCTGAAAGAAGTTTGTAAACTTGTTCCTGATCTCCATTTTGAGTTCGTGCTGCTCCTGTATCCTGGCATCATCTTGCCACTCATTGTTCTTCGTGCCATATGCCCGCGCGGCTTCATCTAAGAGTTCCTGCAGCTTGTCAACCCACAAAGAGTCCAAAGCCTTCTCTTGGCCATCGCTGCCGGTCACCATTGTATAGAACCGCCGCCTCCTTGGGCTAGAGTCTGAGGCCTGCTCTCCAGTCTCAACTCGGTGGGACTTGACATGACGTCCATCTTGCAAGCTTTGTCGCGTGATCACGCCCCCATACTGATGAAAGGCCTCTGCGATGTCTGCTTCAGACAGGGAAGCGGAATCCAAAGAGCCATTGAAGCAGCTTTCGTTATCTTCCATCCTCACCTGCTGTCACCTCCACAACTGGCCGTTATCTTTATTGGCTCTGCAGGCCGTTGCTCCATTGCATTCTGCTCGGCTGGCAGCTGAACAGCGTCTTGGTTCATGCATGTTCGCGTGGTTGTGGGCATAAGAAAAAACCGCCGATTTGCAAACTTGTCTGTATCTACATCCGCGTATGTGTCTGTGTATGTGAAACCCTTGAAACACAGGCAATCCATTGATTTGTGCACATTGACTTCAGATGTAAGCCGGGGCGTGTGGCACTCTCGTCCCACCACACGCAATAACGAAGTTGTGGGCGAGAGTGGGAAGCAAGCCCTGTGTACCTGCTTTGTTGTGGCGTTGTAGTTACTTCCCAATATATATAACCTTCAGGCTGCTTAGGTGGAGGTGTAGGTCGGCACACTTCGCACGCTCTCGTCGTCCTTGTCGATCGTTCAACCCTCGCTTTGAAACATGCGGAATCTTGGCAACTGTGACTTCCATCTTGGTTGGACTCCACTCCATTTACAACTTTCAGGATCGGTTTTATCTTACTCCTGCTACTCTTAGGCGTTCATACCTAGCAGGGCGTGTGGCATGCTGCATTCCATTTCAATACGCAAAATCTTGAGTGTGCCTGGCTTCATGCCAGCCCAGGGTCTACCCGAGGAGTGTCCCCTGTGGCCCCGTTGTTTTGGGGTTTGTCTTGGTTCCCCGGGAACGTACGTGTCCATAGCGGGCGGAGCAGGCTTGCGCCATAGTTTTGCTAGGATTTGCTGAACTGTATGAAAACGAGCGGGCCGCCATCAGGCAGGCCAAAACGTGTCCACAGCGGACTAGAGCAGGCAGCCTTCCGGCAAGCCACAACGTGGCCGCAGCGGCCGAAGTTCTCTCAAGGCTCATTGGGGCCTGTTGGAACCTTAGGTGCACACACAGCGTTCACGTTTTAAACGAGTCTAGGTTTACCTAGGTTTTCTCTATATAATGAGGTCTGGTTTCGTTGGTTTCCGGCCCCTCCATTTGGTTTCCCCTTTCATCCTTTCCCCCTCACACACCCCTCCACCGCAGCTGCTGCCGCGGCAGACCACCTCACCAACCTGCACATTAGAGCACAGACGCTTTTTGAAAGGCAAAAAGATCCACCTTGCCTCGAGCGCCGAAAATCGGCAGTTTGTGTGTGACCCCCTCCGTCTCTAGGAGTTCTGCTCTTGGGTTTCAACACAATTTCCGCAGCGGGTGGCAGCAGGAACGAGAGTCTGCCACCCACGAAGACGTCGCTTTCCTGGTGATACTGGGACTGATCATCCCAGCGTACCTGCTGGAAACACAATGACACCACTGGTCCTCCCTGCTGCTGTCTTTTTGGTTCCATGGTTTTTCCTCATGATACTTCCCACAAACAGATTTTCCACCGCAAAGCAGCTGCTCACCGCCGCGTTCTGCAGACAAGTGAACAACATGTTATATAAACATCAGTTACGCTGACCGCTTCACCTTGCGTTTCCCTCATCCATTTCACCGTGGATTCTGATACTGGATGAACCTGTGACTAAGTGTGTGTGTGTGTGTCAACACCTGTTTCCAAGGTTCTCGTAACTCTTTTTTGACAAGGATCGCAGGACTACTTCATGCCACTGTTTTAATGCAGTTTTTAATTGCAAGCAGCAGGGGGGTGCAGAGCACAGTGGAGACTGCACCCAACGAAGCTATCCACTTGTGCTGGAAGCAGAGCCTGATCAGCTCTGTGTACCTGCAGCGATTTAATCGGTTCAACTGTTGACAAGCTGTCTCATTCTGTGATTTGCAGTAAGCGGCTAATGCACTACAACAATTTGTTAAACATCTTCAATTTTCTGGACTTCCTCGCCCTTCGGTTTGCACTTTTCTTCCAGTCAAGGGGAACTTCGTACTGATAATAGCTCTTGCGAGCAACCATCTAAGTGTGTTTCGCCACAGGGTCCCACTGAGGGCTGTGGTGTGATCCCCGTCAAGGGGCGCAGCATGTGCACAGACCCAGATCCTGGGGGAATCTTCCTGATATTCGGTTCTGCTTTCCTGAACTTCGTTTGATCGTCTCTGATTGGCAGCGAAGCACGATACCACTGATCTTATGCCGCAGGGCCTACTGTGATCAAAATCTTGAGATACTTTCAACTGAAACACGCGTCTAAGTAATCATTTGTACAGTCATCCTAGGCGGGATTGAGCATGATACTTTAGGCACGACATGAGATTTATACGCTTGCACCGATTTCATTGTCCACCTTTTTCACGGCTTCTACTGCGATGCCATGAACTACCAGTGGATTTCTCAGCCTTCCCCTACACCAAGTGCGCCGACACCTTATGGATCCTATGTCACAACCGACCTCTTTGGTGGCACCTTCGATTCCATACGGCACAGTTCCTACAATGCAGATCCCAGTGCCTCAGATCCAGCCGGTTCAACCAGTTCTACCACATCCACAACTTCAATACGCTTCCCCTTTGACCCCAACAACTTTGCCACCTCTCATCCCCAACACCCACCTTGTTCAGATTCCCTCCACAGCTCACCCATTACAACCGTCCTACCCATCAGACCCAAGTTTCACTTGGACTTCCCCAACCCTGATTGTTGCCCCACAATCCTATTGGCCACCCCACCCACAAGCAGTTGCGCCAACTGCAACTCCCACCACTCCTCAGCTCCGCCCCCTCAATTACACCAACAGCCCCTACCGGGCATATTACAGTCCCCACACCGCGTCCGCCACCAAAACAGCCATCACTCGCAGCTTCAACACCAACACCACTTCTACAAAAAGCCACGAGTTCAGTCGCTCCTGGTCCGAAACAACGTCCCCCCGCCCAACCCAAACCGCCCGCAGGTCCACCGCCCAAGCGTGGTATTTGGGCTCCACCACCAGTTGCAATACCAGTTACAAACCAGAGCTCGGTCTCGCTCCCCTCGCCGCTCCAACATTCGACTCACCCCCAATCCCCAGCGTTCGGATGCCAACTATTCCGGCCCTGCCCCGGATTCCACCACCACCTCACGCCCCAAGGGCATTCACGTTGCCACCAGCACACGCATTGAAGCCGCACAGCCACATCAACGGCCCTTCAATCCCTACACCAAAGCCGAGCACGACCATGCCAGTCACACCCACGGCGCAGACACATTAACCGTATTCTACACCACCTCCACCACCAATGTGATCAGCTCTCAGACCGCAATACACCTATGCTCAACTATGTCGCCAAGGTCCTCACCAACGCCGGTATCCTTGCCAAAGACCTTCAGGATCTCGAGCAGTGGACCCATTCCGAGTGGGACAATGACATCAACGGCTACACCTCCACGAAGTACTTCTCTCTCTCTACATCCCTCGCCTCCAGAACAAAAATCGACTCGATCATATTCCTCACCGTCGCAACCAGACTGCCACCCAACATGCCACACTGTACATGTGTTTGCATGCCACGCTACGGAAGAGGGCAACCTACTCAATCTCCTCCAGTACACAGCACTCCCCCAATGCACAAGGTTTCTTTGCCCAAGGCTACGAAACCACTGGGAAGATGATCTACGACGCCTGGCACGCAGCCCGAGTCAGATGGCAAAAAAATCGAGCAGGCATCATTCTTCATTGCATGGCGTGGGGAACCGGCAAGAGATTTACTCAGGGAGGTGAATCCGAAGGCCTGCAGGGCCTCATCTTGTGTGGGGTAGTGGGCTGTGGGAGTGAGCACGTCAAAGTAGGTCTCGAAAACTCAGGTTTTCGAGACCTGGCGGCAAGTTTTCGAGACCTGATCCGCAGGTGATTCTGCATCAAGCACATCAAGCGCATCTTGAAAAACCCAGACCATTGGCTGCCCCTACCAAGCTCACTCAGCGTGATGGTCTATACTAAGCCTGACTTTGCTGTCTTACATCAAGTGCCCTGAAAGAATAATAAGCCGGCGACAATGAGGGTCAACTTCACTGAGCAAGGTGTGTTACTTATTAAGTGAGTGACCAAGCAGGGGCCCCCAGATAGCCCGAGATGAGATGCATTGCGCCCGCAGGTATAGAATTTTAGTCCGACTGGAGCGCCAAGTCCCCAAGCGGAAGCACCTTTTTTCTTTTGATAAGATCATGACGCTAAAACACTGTGTCCGAGCGGCTAAGGAGATGGACTCGAAATCCATTGGGCTCTGCCTGCTTCTCGGTTGCTTTCATCCCCTTAATATTCTTTTGCCACCCCTCTTAATCCTCCCTTTCCCATACCGATGCACCTCAGAAGAAAGATTTTCACTTGGACTATGACGAGTTTCACCTTGACTACGAAGACTACATCCTACTGCAGTTTTCAGTTTTCAGTTTCCTTACCCGTGGAACGACTTTCGCGTTGCTCGCCATGGTCACTCGCCCTACGCTACCGGGCCCCACTCCACAATGTGACCGCATTGCTCAGTGTGTTTCCAATGTCGCCTCCACCCTACGACTGGCCGCCTCTTCAGATTCACTGGATGAGATTCATGACATTCTTCGTGGACAACCCCCGCCTGCTCCCACAATGGGCTACCCACCGGTCTTGCAGCAACCACTGGGCTTCCCGCCTCCTATGCAAACCCTCAATCACACCCATCCACATCCCCTGGCATCCCACCATTTTCGTGGGAACCTTCGACCGATTGCTGCACCATCACAACTTGGTGCTTCCACCAGTGAAGATGAACCATCATTCCCAGATCCTTCCCACGTTCCCCGCATTCCCTCCTCCTTGGACGACAGCGATTGTTCTTCGGCACCAGCAATACCCCTCCGACCAAACGACCACGTGTTCCTCGTTCCGCCAAAGCCAAAGCCAAGCCCCGCCCCTCAACACCGCCCTCGGCATCCACCAGACGCCAAGAACTTCATGAAAACTGGGACTCTTGGGAACCATGGCAGGAAGAACAACTTGTCGACATGAAGACCAATGCCAAACTACGCCCCAGCTGGACCTTTATTGCCAAGAAGCTCCAATGTACACCTGCTCAATGCCAGA